CAGAGCCCGGAGCCAGGAGCCCGGAAAACCAGAGCCCGGAGCCAGGAGCCCGGAAAACCAGAGCCCGGAGCCAGGAACCCGGAGGCCGAAGCGCGGAGCCCGGTGCTCAGAGCCAGGAACCCGGAGCCCAGAGTCCACCCACGGAATCCACTCGCTACCCCCAAACAGGCTTCCACGATACTACTTCTACTAGGGCTCCACCTGAGACGAGCCCACTACACAATTACAGCTGGATCCATGCAGGACAGCCCGGCCCCACTCAGCTCACGGACAGTCTGGAAAACTTTCCCTGGCCCCAGATGTACCATTACACTGAGTGGACGTGAGCCACCATGTTAGCGTCCAGAGAGCTGAGGCTCGCGGTACCCGGGCCTGAACCCCTGCACAGCTCCACACTCCTCACCACACCCGGACACCGAATAACCGAGCCCCCCTAACCGCCACCTGTGCCACTTACAGGGTGAAGCTCTCGTAGGTGCTGGCCATCTTCGCTTCTGTGTAACCTCCGTGACGTGTCATCCCGCTCTTCGTCGCCGCTCAAGGTGAGCCAGCAGCGGCACCCTCCGAGGAGCGCCACCGCCCCCTGGTGGCTCCAGCACTCACTGCACCCAGCAGCTTCCCCGGTGGGAGGTTTATTTCCGGGACAGGGAGAAAAGCTCCTTCATTTAGAATTTGTTTTGTATCCACTGGATTTATTCAATCATAAGTTTAGAATGATTCACTGAATTGAAATTTGTTTGGATTGGACTGGATCGTTTAAGTGCCATGGGTTGACATTTGGGAAACTGAGGTATGTTGGTCACCTGGTATAAATCCCTGGTTCTTTCTGTGTCGGGTTTGCATGTTCTCCTTGTCTGTGTGTGGGTTCTCTGGTTTCCCCCATTGTACAAACACATGCATGTAAATCAAACTTAATTGAATTAGTTCAATGTTTTCCACAGCACATGAGGGCAGGTCCGTTGACATTTACAGAAAAAAACTAATTACCTAGTGAACCGGTACTGCTGGAAAGGGAAGGGTACAGAGAGGGTGTAGGCATTAGTTTCCATCTGTATGTAACATTTCCAAGATGAGTGAAAGAGTGATGTTTCTGACCGGGACTAGTTTCTAGGAGGTTTTCATTTTCATTCCTTCCAGGTGGATTGGTGGTAAATGGCAGCAGCTGGATGTTCCTCAGAAAGTTTATTCATCTAGTTTCAAAGCCACTTGACAGTCAAAGATTTAGGAATCAAAAACAGGTTTTAACAATTAAGAGCAGACTTCTTTATAGTCCTACATCAAGTCTGGGTATACAATATTCCCCATAGCAGGCCAGCTGACTGGACAGCAGACCTGCTCTGTCTTTTAAGCAGAAGGAAATCCCTCCTGGATTTGCAGGATGACTTGAGATAACCCACCTAAATGTGTTTTGACACAAACCCAGTAGTTTTTTTTTATATTCTGCTGATGTTCCAAAGTGTTGATCTGTACAAAAACATGTCTGCATCATCTTTTGCTAAGATTTTCCACCTAATCATCCAACAAAATCTCAGGATTATCTTCAGGAATTGGTGACAGTCAACATATTACTGCCACTGTGAGAATATATGCGTGTTGATATGGTACTGCATCAAGTTTTTCTTTCTCACGGATGGCAGGAATTCTCAGCTGAGAAACAAGTAGGACAAGCAGACCAAAATAACATTTACTGGTAATTCCTGCACACAAAGGGTTAACAAAAAACCTAAATATTAAGAAGACACTAAATCTATAGCCAAACAATACCACAAGTAAGCAAATAGGTGACGAGCAGAGTGCAGAGCCAGGTTTTAAACAGGAGGTAATCACTCTGCACAGCTGAGGCAAATATCCAATCAGCTGCACAGGACTGCACAGATGTGTGCTGATGTGAATAAAAACCTACTCATGATCCTGGAGTGTAACCAAATTATTGAACTACATCAAATCCCTAACCCCCAGCAGAGAAAGTCACGGAGTCCCACAGAGTTCTGTGCTTTGGCAATTTTCCCCCTAAATATGCTTTTATTTCCATTTGCTTCCACATTAAAATTGCTACAAGACTAAAGCAAAAATCCAATGCCAGACTCCAGTAATGCCTCAGGCTTGTTCTGGCCACGTTTGAAAGATGCTATGAAGCGGTCCCGCCACGTGGTGGCAGTGGGGTGCCGGTCAGTTGCTCTCAACCCCCAGACAGTGAAGAAGAAATAGGAGCCCGTATGGTCTGAGCATGCGCAGCTGCTGCACACGTGCTCAGACTTCATCTTCGTGTAGCTAGAGGAGCAGGAGGAAAACAGAACACGTCTGTTTGCTGGGTTTCCACGCGTTTCTGAAGATAACATGAGGCCAGGTAAAGGAACCTTACTTTCGGTGGTGTTTTGGAAGGAGCTAGCCGTTTCAAACGGAGCTAGCTGTTTGGGAAAAAGTTATCTGTTTCGGGTGGAGCGGCGAGGGTTGAGTGTAGTGAGTTTCTCTGTGCGGCCCACCGTGGCGCCATGCCGCCCGGTGAGCAGCCCGGCCTGTTAGCAGCGTGCCCACCGGACCCGCGTGTCCGTGGCGGGGGGGGGGAGAGCATGAGCTCGTCAGAGCCTGTCGGGGTCTCGTATCTTGAGTGGTGAAGTCGAGGCTCCTCAGGCCGCGCAGCACGTGTTTAAAAACCGCGTGGCTCCGCAGACCTGAGCCTCTGTTAGCGGCCCATAGCGCCGTGGGCCAGCCTGAGGGCCTGCGGGCCACGGGGGTCTCTGGTGGACGGGCCTGCGCACGCCCCTGCCAAAGCTGACCCCCTTTGGTCTGGTTTGGGGCTGTATAAGGGACCCCAGAGAACGGCACCCTGGCCAGGGTTGGCCTTTTCCGGGACTGTTAGCCCCCCCTGCAGTGATGCACTCAGATGGGACTCTTGAGTTTGGGACTCTGAGAAAAGCTAAATTTTTCTTCTAAGTAAACAGAGCTTGATGGAAGCCTCCCCACCTGTTGGGTTCTTGGACCTCATTGTTTAGCTCTCACCTCTTACAATAGTTGATGGGAATAGTTGGAGGCAGGCAGCCTCCACGTGATCAGATTATCATTTGACCCCCCCAGGGCACCGTCCCTCTGTATGAAGGCTGCATCTCACCGCGGGACACGTGGGTAGACCTGTACACATTCCGCCTGGCTCTGGGTGACTGGTCCTGAGCTGTGCCTTTGATTTTTAAACAGTGACATGAAGCTGGAGAGGCTCTCTTAACTTTGACTCCTCGTGTTGTCCTTCCTAACTTATTTCAAATTTGTCCCAAAAACTACAGTGAGCCCATATGTTGGCGAGAGGATGAAGATGATCCAGAACTGTTGCCTGGGCCTCATGGTCCTGGATCTGTTATATGTTAGGGAGCATCCCATTGTCTGAAATCCTCCTAGTGGATCCCCTAAAACGGTTCGGTTGGCTGTCTGGAGTAAGTCCCCGGCCTCAGGGGGCCACTGGGTGGTTTCTCCTGTGGCTGAGTCTGCCACCCAGCAGAGCAGAACAGGGGTTGAGGAGCAGGAATGGAGAATGGCTCACTGGTCAGGCACGCTGGGGACAGCTGTCCATCAGCACAGATGTGCAGACATGGACACGGTTGTGCGTTCCTTCTTTTTGGGCCAGTGGAGCCCAGCTGCTGGTGGAAACCCAGCATGCCGGTTCCTTTTTCTGTTGTTCTGTTGAACAAATGTGGTTGGACACTGTTGTTTCTGTCATGTCAGTGAACAGTTGTGTGTTTGTGTGTGTGACACCAGAGCAGCTCACCTGTAGCCTCTGGTCCTACTGGGTGGACCAGAGCCTCAAACATCTGACTCCTTAACTGCAGCAGAGGTGCCGGGCCACATCCTGGAGTCCTGTCAGCTCATTTTGTCCTGAAAACAAGATGGCCTCCATGTTTCAGGTTTCAGTCCTCGTGGGGACAGAGGAGGAAGAGGAGGAGGGTTCAGAGGAGGATCTGGAGACCGTGGAGGACGAGGGGGGTTCAGAGGAGGGTTTGGTGACCGTGGAGGACGAGGAGGGTTCAGAGGAGGAAGAGGTGAGTGTCTTTTATGCTCGCTGGTGTCGGCTGTAATGCAAACCTGTGATGTCACTTTTCAGGATGGTCATCACTGACCAACGGCAATGGGCTGTATGGGTGGGACCCAGGCCCGGAGACCTCGGGGTGGGGGTCAGGATCGGTGTATTGTGGATTCACCGGTCCCGCTAACCTGTTGCACAGTGAGTGATTGGTGGCTCTGTTAGCAGCTCTCGTTCTTTTATCCAGGAGGGGGGTTCAGGTCCCCAGAGGGTGGAGGATTCCGAGGACGTGGAGGTGGCCGAGGTACCCCAAGAGGAAGAGGAGGAAGAGGCGGCAGAGGAGGTTTTGGAGCAGGGAGGAAGGTCTTGATTGAGCCTCACAGACATGAAGGTTTTTATCCACTTATTTCCTGTTGTGGTGTGTGTGTGTGAGAAACCAGAGGAATGACTTGGGAAGGGGAAAGTGTAGATGTGGTTAGGAGTGATGGTGAACTGTGATTGAGGCTGCTCATGCCACCCGTGTGCACGTGAGAGCCACTAACACTATCCATGTCTGTGGCACTTGAAACTGAGAGTTACTTTGTGTTTTCAGGAGTGTTCATCTGTAGAGGGAAGGAGGACGCGCTGGTGACCAGGAACATGGTGGTGGGCGAGTCTGTGTATGGAGAGAAGAGAATGAGTGTGGAGGTATGTTACTGCCCTGTGCTGGAGCCCGGTCAGGATCACAGCTCTGAGGGGCTCCTGTTAACCAGTTACGCTTCAGCAAAGTTCCCACTACGTGCACTTTGTATTCTTTAGACTGGGCTGCTGGATTAAAGTTGTGCTTCTGGAGTGGGTGCTCCTGGTATTTTGCCACCTGTCTTTAGTTCCCATGTCAAAGTAAACGCTGGGTGTTTGGCAGGAGCAATGGTTCTGTAAACCTGGTCTTCCCTCCACGCTGATGGGAAACGCCATACAACTGGCAAACTGCTCTGAGGCACACAGTCAGGCTCACACAAAGAAACCCATGTCCCGTTCAGAGGGGAAAGGTCTCTGCCGGGGAGAATCAGACCCATGGAGGCTCTGCCAGAGGGGAACGGCTTCCAGGCCCACGCTGCTTTGAAGCAGGGGCCTCAGTGGGACAGGGAGGGGGGGGGGGGGCTCTGAGCCGGGATATGATGCTAATGGCTGGAGGGATGGCTTTTACATCTTTGATGCCGTACAAAAGTCAATGGCTATTTTGAATTTATGTTTCCTTTATTTCAACTTGTCTTAGGAAGGGGAGACAAAGATCGAGTACAGAGCCTGGAATCCTTTCCGTTCCAAGCTGGCCGCCGCCATCCTGGGGGGGGTCGATCAGATTCACATCAAGCCCGGGGCTAAGGTCATGTACCTGGGTGCGGCCTCCGGAACCACGGTGTCCCACGTGTCTGACATCGTTGGACCAGTGAGTACTGTGCACACGCCGACAACAGCGTTCAGCATGGGGGGGGGGGGGGCCCCACTCCCCCGTAAGAGCAGGGGGGATACGGGGGGATGGTGTGAGGCCTCAGACTGCTTCCTCTGCATGAGCTGCTGCTGTGTGAGCCCTTTATCCAGCACCAGAGAGCCCACTCACCACGCCCCAGACAACCTGCAGGCCCCGGGACCTCACCTGTAAGCCCCCACCTGGAGGGGGGGGCCCTCTGGGTCTGCTGCTGCTGGATGCAGAACAGAACCCCCCCCCCCCTGTGCTGAGTAGTTATAGTGGAGGAGGGCCAGAGCAGGGAAGTGGCTCATGGTGAGATGGCTGGCATGTCTGAGGCGTGTGCAGGTTCTGGGACTGAGCTGACTTATTCAGAGGTTCCACTGCCCCCCCCCTGCTGTCTGACTCCTTATCCAATCCATCTCTGGAGCCATGCACTGATGATGATGAGCCCAGAGCCTTGTACAGTCGTAGTAGTGTGAGAAAAGGGGGGCCATGCTGGGGGGCAGCCTGCTAGGGTAACACTGGTGGGTGTGTGCTGTGTTCTAGGACGGGCTGGTCTATGCTGTGGAGTTCTCTCACCGCTCAGGTCGGGACCTTCTGAATGTGGCCAAGAAACGCACCAACATCATCCCCATCATCGAGGACGCCCGGCACCCGCACAAATACAGAATGCTGGTTGGTGAGTAGCCTGCTGGACGCACCACAGTCCTGTCTGAGGTCAGCCAATCACGCCTCAGAGGGGGGGCTGTAGGAAGCATAGCTGGAAAGCTGCTGGTGCTCACATGCACAAACGGGGGCCCAGAAAGGCAGAAGGCCTGGGCTAGCTGCGGCCCCCCCCTCTGAATGTGCTGGGGGGCAGAATGGGCGCTGGGCTTCCTGCTGTGTGCAGATGTGCACTGAGACGGGCTGTTTCCCCTCCAGGCATGGTGGATGTGATCTTCGCTGATGTTGCCCAGCCCGACCAGACCAGGATTGTGGCTCTGAATGCCCACAACTTCCTGAAGAATGGTGGACACTTTGTGATTTCAATAAAGGTATGTCAAAAGGCACCTGACCACTTCTCTGACACATCAGCCCGTAATGTGATGGAGAACCGATCCCTGACCGGGTGCTCGGACTACAGCCTGGTGCTGGAGGGATGAGTGACGCTGTTTTCAGCCTCTTGAACTCTAAAGAGGAGAAGAGAAAATGTGGGAGTTGAGTTGGATGTTTGGGCTCTGTGGGCACCCTGGTTGTGTTCTTTATGCTCTGTGTTTTGAGTGTGTGCTGTTTCAGTGGACTCTTGTTTTGTGCTCCTCCAGGCTAACTGCATAGACTCCACGGCGGCTCCAGAGGCAGTGTTTGCTTCAGAAGTGAAGAAAATGAGTGCTGAGAACATGAAGCCACAGGAGCAGCTCACCCTGGAGCCCTACGAGAGGGACCATGCTGTGGTGGTGGGCATGTACAGGTAGGCCGGCCCCCCTGCTCACACCCACTCCCCAGGCTCCAGAAGCCAGTAGCAGTGGAACTAAAGGCCCCAAATATTGTACACTTTGAGGAGCACTCGCTCATTAGGATGACCGGGAACCAGTGAATCTGGTTTCACCAGCCAATATCACACCCCCCGCACAAATACCCCCCCTGTGTCATCTCAGGGGGGGGGGGGTATCCCAGGAATCACCACAGTCAGATGTCATTCCTGACAGATCCCTCCATGTTCCACTTGAATGCAGTGCGCTCTGTTAAATATGTACAGACAGGAACTAGCCCCCCCTGAGGGCCCCCCTAAGCCAAGTCAGACCCCCACAGTAGCCCCCACAGTAGCCCCCACAGTAGCCCCCACAGTAGCCCCCGCAGTAGCCTGCCGGTGCCCTCAGCGTGCAGCCGCTCGGTGTTGGTTGTATAAATGTCTGTATGAGTAACTGCTGCCCCTCTTTTCTGTCCCAGACCTCCGCCTAAACAGAAGAAGTAAGGTGTGGAAGAAGGCCCACGTCCAGCTCTGCCCCCCCCCCTCCTGACCGACTGTCCTGAGTGGGAAGCTGCGTCTAACATGCTGCGGAAATTGGAAATTTTCTTGAGTTGTTTAATAGTTACATAAGCCAGACTTAAACTACTGTTTATTAAGGCTGGGAGCTGGTTTCACACCCTTCTGTGTCTTTAGTGGGAGAGGAGGAGTTTCACATGTGAAGTGGATGCTTTAGAGATGGACAACTCATGTTGTACAAATGTAATCCAGTGTCTGTTTAAGTGTGACTTTGGCTTCCCCAGTACATCTGAAAGATTGTTTTGTAGTTTGGATCATTTGAGTAATTCCCATGTGGTCTAACGGTAGATCTGGTGATTCCTGTTGTTGGCCAAAGCTTTTATTTCAGTGTTGTTTCTGTCATTTCAGCTCCTGGTGTTTTTATTGAACTGTATCAGGGCATCCTGTGAGTGGGGGCAGGCCTCCTCATGAGAGGAATGAACATGAATGCTTCCTGCCACCATTGAGGCTCTGGCATTGGCAACCCTTCAGAGCAGCATGAGGCCAGGTTTGGACCTGAGTTTGGACCTGGGTTTGGACCCGAGTTTGGACCTGGGTTTGGACCCGAGTTTGGACCTGGGTTTGGACCCGAGTTTGGACCTGTGGCCCCTCATGGCCGCCTGTCCCCTGCGTTCTCCTTAAGGAGGACCATGAAATGCTTCCCTGATCATGGCCGGGTTGGTAAACTGACCCTCTCTGTACACACATTAAGACTTTTTCAGGATGACTTTTTGTTCCAGTCCATTTTAGGGTTTAAAACGACCAATGAGCAGCTCCCGTTTATTTTGTATAAAAAGTTTTAATAAAAAAACGACTGTATTCCTGTATTTTGGTCACATTTATTGAGATTTGAATCTATAGCCGCCCCCAGAACATGAAAGGAGACTCTTTCTGAACTCTTGAACCTCGGTTCCGGTCCTGGGCGCAGTACCCGTCCGGACCCAGCTCCTGCCCGGTGCCGGTGTGTGCCGGTGTCCACTGGAACGGACCGGAGAGAGGAGCCGGCTGCACGGGGACTGCGGGAGCGCCCACGGAGGCGGAACACGACCAGGAACAGCGAAAACTGCTAGTTTGATCCGATAAGTGTGTCCGAACGCGCAGTGGGCTGCGGTTCTGTGCTGGACTTTCACCGTGAGACGCCACAGGGCGAGACCCCGCTGCAAACCCCGCTGAAAGCTGCCCGGAACGCTAGCGGTGGCTTTGTTTTGGCAGCCATTTTGTGGGAAATGTCTCTGGAGCGCGCCGGGTCGTACTTGCCTGCTGTCGGGAGTGCGCTCTCAATGCAGCCCCTCTCCTTTGACCGATATTAACATCACAGAGGGGCTGGCCAGAATAGCGCTAGCTGTAGCTCTGCCTGCTAAACTGCAAACTCTTCTTTTCATTGCGTTTGCAGGTTCGGTCCCTCGGCTGGCCGTTGTCCCAAAGCAGCCTGCAGTGCGCGGACTGTTTTCAAATTCCAATGGCAGTGTTTTATTAGACGGCTAGCATGCTAGCCACCAGCTAGCATGCTAATATTAGCTTTTTACCCTTAAATTGGAGAGCGGACGATATCGGTGGTTACATTGCCACACGTCTAGTTGCACTGTGATCGTCTGCACAATCGAGAATGACCCTCGTTACGGTAAACGAGCTTTGCTAGATAGAGGCGTGAGTTGTCGGTGGTCGAAGCGGCGGTCTGCCCACCTCCAGGCAGAGCTAGCTGTGCGGCGCCGGCAATCTCTACCTATCGATAACCCGCTATCTGGAGCTCTACGGAAAAAAGAACGCAGTTTTATTGGCCGCTGAAGTCACCGGGATTCTACCTACAAATCACTGTACACCACATTTTGGGGATTTCTGCCGTCGAAAACCAGCGACTGGTCCGGAGGAGGAGGCTCGGTTCGTGTGGACGACGGGAGACGGGGTTCCGAACATGGCTGCTCCTCGGAACACGGTCCGACACGCCGCCTGAGGTAAGGCACTGCGGGCGGCGTCGGTGTCGGGTGTGAAATGGGGCTGTCATGGTGGTGGGGGAGTGTTCTGCATTGGCGGCTTGCTAAAGCTGTGAGCCAGCTCTCAGCTCCTGCCAGCCGGCCTGGTGTCACCACTCCTCCGCCGCGGCTGTCAGGCGGCTGAAGGGGCGAGCCCGGGCAGAACCGGCCGCTAGCATGGCGGATGGACCGGGGGGGCAGAGAACAGTAAAGCTCACACCGAGCCCAGCCTTCACTCCACATCATGGAGGGCAGTGCTGCACCGCCTGATGTCGCGTTAAGCACCCCCTGTCCTTCCACCTCCCATCTCTGGAGGGGATGCTGCCCCCAGATGTTGCTCACACACGGACTGATGGCTGCTGTGCTCACTGGGGATGGATCACAGCATCCTCCGGCGGCCGTGTCGCCTCTCCTCAGCCACGGCCCAGTGGGCAGGAGACTGGGACAAGGTGCCGGATGGGCCAGGGCTGAGCCGAGCCGAGATGGGCCGAGCCGGGCTGGGCCGGCCAGCTGGGCTGGGCTGAGGGGGGGGGGGTGGATGGATGTGGTGTGGCGGGCATACAGCGGTTTGCTGTGAGGATGGAGAACGCCCCGGAGGCTCCACATCCCAGTTTTTCTGGTAAGGCCGCTAACACTAGCAGCCGCATCGGCCCCAGCCCCTACCCTGCCCAGCAGCACAGGGATTGGGCCCTCCTGGCCTGCTGAGGGCTACTCCCAGGGCAGGTGGGGGTGGGGGGGGGGGCACAGGAGCAGAACTGCACACCTTTCTGTGTTCGCTCCTCCGTCGCCGCTCAACGCAATGTGTGGTCTGAATTAGTGGTGATTTCAACCAGAACCATGTCCATCCGTCTCTCTCACACACACACTCCCCTCCCTCATCCAGAAGACACTGATTTGTATTGTGAGCTTTTAAATAGGCTATGGTCTGTAGTGTAATTAATAGTTTTAGCTGGTTCTTTAACCACTGGGCTTCCTGTCAGATCATGGAGGAGGCTTTCCTGGTGGAGGTGCAGAGGAACTGGACCGGTAATTGCAGCTCTATCGTTCAGGATAACAAGTCTCCAGCATCATTTCTCCCCGCCGCGTTGGACCCGTGGTCCCTACAAGAGCACATGCTGTGTGGTGTTTCTTAATACACATTTCTAAAATCTTTTTGTAAGAAGGGACATAATATGGTTATTTGGCAAGCAGATCCCATGTAGTGGCTGGTCATGTCCATCCAAAGCCGGCAGCAGAGAAGCTTCTGTTCTTATTGATGATGCCACATGTGAACTGAACACAGTCCTGCTGAAAGTTTGTTGGGGAGGGAATAGGGCCATCCATAGCATGTGTACTTACTGACAGAGAGAAGCTTGAAGAGTGAGAACCTGGAAGTCTAAGTTAAAGCACACATTTCTTGGTGTCAGTCCAGAGCAAAGCAGATGTTTGTCAGTATGGAGCTTGCAATAGAAAGTCTTTCTGAATCTGGTGGATCAACCTGAAGCCATGCCTCGGTGCCTCAGATCTGCTCAGTGTGTCTTCACACTGAAATTCCCAATAAAAAAGAAATGGAAATGATGTCAGCAGAGTTCCTGTGTGCATGTTAGAGTGCACAGTATGCCAAATGATTAGTCAGCTCTGTTCTTCCACCTTTAGATCTCTCCAAGCTGTGGATTGATGACAATATCTTGGTAAAGAGGAGCATAAAGTCATCCTAAAAATGGCGTGTCACTGTGTCAAAGGGCCTGCCTTGGACTGAGAAGCTGAAGGTCACAGGGACTGTCCCAATTTCAGAGTCCATCACAGAGAGCCTCTCCTGTCTCTGTGTTCTGTTCTCTGTCAGGTTATGTGGAACCCGTTGGCAGAGCAGCCTGGTTTGGCCACGGTTTAAATGTTCTTTGGCTTCAAACTAACTGATATTTATTTCAGCTCCTATCCAGTTCAGGGCACGTTGGGCTGATGCTGTAATGACAGGAAACGCTGCAGATCTCCTGTGAGCAGAAGCAGTGTCTCTGGGGGGCTGTGGACATTCATCGAGCACATGTTATGGGTCTAAATGGTGAAGTTTTAATGAGCATGAATTCTTTCTCAGCTCATCAAATGTGAGCCTTAACTGTTTTAACTCTGGAGTAAGTTGTGTTGGCTGTTGCAGGACTGTGTCACACAGAGTAATGAACTTTCATGACTTCACCCTTCCGTCATGATTGAGTTGAGTCAGTGCATGTGAGATGACCCTACCAGTGCACGTGGATGCTGGCTCAGTAATGGATGGGGGCGGTCAGATCCGGCCCAGGTCCCCTCTCATGCTGTGAACTTCAGCTGGTTTCACAGCTTAGAGGAAGATCTGCTGGTCCACTGACTGCTGCCCCTCTGGATGGACCCTCAACTCCCACCGTCGGTCCTCTCAGAGGGGGTTTCTGCCTTCTCCTGACTGCCTGCACGTCTGCCCGGCTGCTTCTGCTTACAGGCTGTCCTGCACGCTGAGCCTGGCTGCTCAGCC